CCTTCTCCTCCTCCTTCTGTTTCCTCTTGTTTTTCTTTTTCTTTTTCCTTCTTTGTATATGTATGTCAGTGATCCAGCTCAGAGTAATACGTATATTTGGCAAGTGCTCAGCTACTATCTTTAATGCTTCTCAGGGAGGTGATGGATATCCTTGTCAGTGACTGTAACCCTGTAAAATGTCTTATGATTGTATATGAGATTATCTGCTATAATTAAAACAATGAGTAGGTGGTTATTTATTTTCTTTCTTTCAGATACCTATGAAAATGGAAACTACTTCCTGGCCAGCTTTACAGCATCTCAGGTAGACTACTTAGTTTTATAAATTATTTTCCAATTCATTAAAAATTATACATTTATATGATTGAACTATATAACTATAATACCTTTCATCTTAATGGCAGGTCAATCCTGCTTTTACTTCTCTAGTTCAGGTTTGTTGACAGTAAGGTAAGGAAGAAACAGTCCTATTTTAACAATTATTCAATAACCCATGGGGGGAAGGGAAGGAAAGAAAAGGGAAGGGAAGGGGAAAAAAAAAAAGAAAAAGGAGAAAAAACAAGGAAAATGGACTCTTAAATTCATGACATTTCCAAGGAAGAAACTCTCCAACATGCAGCAAAGCCGGATGACACAGTGGCATGCAACCAATAATAAACATTTAAATTCTGCATTTGTCAATGGCCTAAACTAGGTCTGTCTCATTTTGACTGGTTCTCATGTATGAAGTGTCAGCCTCAGTCTGTTAGTCTGCTTGAATTGTCTTGCTGTTATTCACTTACATATGTATTTACTTGGTTAAGGATGATCGAAAATGAAATCATAGGGAGGCCTGAGCATAACATTTCATGATTACTGAAGCGGGGAAAAGTGGAAATAAATATCTCAATACTGGACTTTTTAAAATGTATTTGGTTGTTGCAGGGGCTCACTATGCAGCTCAGACTTGGGTTAATCCTCCTGCTTTCAGCCACCCCAACACTGGGATTATAGGCATGTGTCATCACGCCTGGACTCTGGCCAATCAGCCTGCCCTGAGGGCTGGGCTGGCACAGCATATGGTGCCGGAGATCGGACCATGGTCCGTGCACTTGGCTAAGCAAGTGCTTTAGTCCACTGAACTATCTCTCTAGTCCAATACCTCAATACTTTTAAAAATCACTTCTTGCACCAAGTTGCCTAATTCCCATTGGCAAAGTAGAGTCATAGGGCCAAGCCCAGAGGCACAGTAGGGACAGGCCATCTCATCCAGAGAGTAAAAATTACACAGAAAAAGATGTGAATGGAGAAGAATGAATGATGGAGGATCACGATGCAACCAATATACCATGCATGTTCAATGAGTCCATGTATATAATCTACAATTCTAACAAGAAAGCTAGGGGATCATTCTCTGGCAAACCTGCAGTCTTCTTGTGTTTAGGTTGTTAGCCATTGACTTGATATAGGAACTATTGTAGCAAAAATCTATTGTTTTCTATTCTATAGTGGTGTTTCAAATATTGTCTATTATATATCACTTTTGCTTTCTCTTTTTAAAATTATCTACCTCTAGGCTAACTTTTTAGAATTATCCGCCTCTAGACTGCTTTATATATGTCCTGGTTCCTAGATGTGCTCACTCTATTGAATGCCATTTAATATAGATTTCTCCTAAAACATAGTGCCCAGGGTTGAGATCATAATTTATATCTTCACTATCCAGTATACCACCCATGAGCTACATTAGCTAATGAATTCTTACTAGTATGACTATCCTATTTTGAAATACTTAGTTACTTTGAAAAAAGATTGTAAAATACCCCACACCCATTTTTATATTTAATACACTGAAATAATATTTTAGAATTTTTTGGTTAAATGTAATATATCTTTAAATTAATTTCTTCTGTTTACTTTTAAAAATATCATTACTGGAAAAATTTTAGTTGCATACATGGTTTGTATTGTATTCCTACATGATGGCATGAACTTTGATAATGTCTATACTTTTTTGGCATGACTTTCTTATATGTTGTGGGTGCTTCACAGCTTTAAGTTTTTATACACAAATGCCAGATGTTTGGGACATACAAATTTCATAGTCAGCTAATGCCTTGGAATCATTGTCATAGACATGAAAGTACCAGGTCATGTTTTTTCTGTACTCCACTTGCTTATTTGAAACTAAATGCAGCAGTTTACAAATTACATCTGAGCTTTATCTCTTATTAATGAATAGTTGACTATAAGACTTTACTTATTTTTCCTCTTGAGTTATTATTTATAAATGAAGCTGTTGATCTATAAACCCTGGAGTTTTGTTCTATTTCTAAGTACTCACTTTAGGAAATACACTTTCCTGTTTAATCTATTTCTTTGTTATAAAACATTAGATCACCCTTAAATAATTTCTGACCCCAAGTTTCTATTTTTTCTTTATTTCAAATTAGTGACAGATGTATCACTACTTCTGTGATGTTTGGTGAGTTGCTTCCTTCCCTCTAAAGAGTGGAGGCCTGAGAGGAAAGGAAGCTTCCAGCTTTCTGTGGGGTCACACTCAGCATCACCCTGACTGCTAAGCCAGCTGGTGAGGATGGGACTGGAGCTGCAGCATTTGCTGGTTTCTGTAGTGTAAAGAGTCCCTCATCTTATCCAGTTTTGGGTTAGTAAACAGCTTGCAAAATTGCAGAAGATTTGTTAATCAACTACTAAATGAGGAAGAATTAGTCCTAATGTACTTTCAAGTTATATTCCTTCATCTTGATTTTCCCTTCGTCCTGCCTGTTCAATCAGCCAAAAATGATGTGTTAATTCTTCAGAGATGAGCAGCACTTGAACATTTTCCCTAACTCCTGACGCCATGAGAGTTGGGATGTCTCTAACTCTTCTCTGCTGGGAGGATCTCTTTTTCTTATTGTGTAGATTTCTTGATTGTTGCATTGTACACACGTAGCTGGTCCCACTTGTGTTTACAAAGGGCCAGAGAGAACAGCGTGGAACTTGGGGTGAGCCTCAGACCCCTGGATCCCTGCAGCACTCCCTGTCTCCTTCATGTCACCTTTTATATCCTACCCATCCTCCTGGGGCTACTGAAGTTCTTTGTCCTTACCAAGTCCTCTTCCCACAGTGACTTTTTTTCTTTCTCTTCAAACCACAACGCATTTCACTATCATTTTCATTTAGTCTTTGAGTGGTATCTTGCAATTTCTCCCTTATTATAACCCTTAGCTTGAAACTTAAACTGGTCATAATTTATGTAAGTACATATATCACTGTGAACTGTTCTTATCTAAGATCTGGTTGCGTACTCTTTTTGTCATCCTGTATTAAGTGGGGCAGTTCACATATGTGCATCATAGTTCTACCCTATCTGTGTCTTTTAGCTCTGTGGCCATGAGCTTCTCTGTGAAGCAGAGACAATATCACTTTCTTTTCAAAATTATTGTAAAAATTAGTAATAAATATACACAAAATAGCTTTTATATTTCTTATACCAAGATCTATTTTGACATCATCAAAATTATTGTAGCAGATACTCAGAAAATAAATACTTAAGAAGTGTCTAATTAAAATTTAAACTGCAATTAAAAATGAAAACAGAGCCAGGTATGGTGGTACATGTTTCCAGTTTCTTGAGATTGAGGGAGAGAGATTGAAAAATCTGAGCCCAGTCTGGACAATTTATTAACTTAGCAAAACTCTGTCTCAAAATTTAAAAAAGAAAATGGCCTGAAATTATCGTGTAGTATAATGACCCTGAGTATCTCTTATGCTGCAAAGGAGAAAGGAAGGAAGGAAGGAAAGAAAGAACAAATCAGTACTACAAAAATGTTTGATACTACTGCATTTTAATGTGGAATATGGTCTATTTAAAAATTCATTATTTTTTTCTCTCTACAAATTCTTTACAGAATATCTTGAAAATCCAAGTCATACACAATAAGTATTTAAGTGACTCAAACCCTCTGAAAGTTGGATATATTAAAGTTTGGGGTATGAACTCTACTTATGTGACCCAAGTCGTTTTCACCTATGACAACCAGCAATTCATAGAGACCAACTTGAAGAATGACCTGTCCCATCAGGTATGGCTGCACAGAGTACCGTTGGTACAGGATACACGGGGAAGCTTGAGAAGGCAGAGGAAACTGGCAAGGGGCTTCAGCTTGGGGAGAATAGCTGAGGGGGGCACAGTCCTGAGGGAGTCTGTCAGATTGGCCCACTAATGAAAGAAAGGGTCTCACTTCGCTGGCTTCACTGGGTGGGTGAGCAGCTTAGTAACTTCCCACTGGGTCACAAGTATGGCATTTGTGGTGACTTTTCTTTATGTGTTAGGAGTTTTCTGTTAATTTAACCGATATGAATCAACAGTTACTTGGCCAGTTTGTCCTTAGTGTTATTATGGTGCCCCTCTGATGTTGTATCATACATGATCCTTACAATAAGAGTAGGGGCAAGGGGGGCCAGGGAGATAGCTTAGTGGTCTAAGCACCTGCGTGGCAAGCACAAGGACCTGTGTTTGATTCCTGGTACTGCATGCTGTGCGCCAGCCCAGCACTGTGTCAGCCACTGAAACCAGGCGTGGTAGTGTAATCCCAGCACTGGGGAGGCTGAGACAGGAAGATAACTATGAGTCCAAGCTGTGTAGTGAGACCCTGTACCAAGTAAATAAATCTTTAAAAAAATTATTAAGAAAGAGTAGGGGCTAAGGGGGTGGTATATTCCATATATTGATAACTGCTTCAGTGAGGAACACGTCATTGGCCAATGTTGGAGCATCCAAGCCTCCTGTCCATAAGCATACCTGTCTCATTTAATAATCATAAGATAGTTTATACTGTCACCGCTATTGACCTTAGATATACACACATTAGGAAGGTTACCAGAGTGTCGAATAGATATGCTCCTAAAAGTGTTGTAGCATGCCCAGCTCTGGTGACCTTTCTATTGTAGTCCAGGGACCAAAGAACAGTGCTCTGTAACACCCTCTCCAGGTGCTTACTAAGGAAATTGTACTGTGTTTGAATAGACTGGTTTCCCAGCTATGTAACAAAACTCACTTTTGCACTCAAAGTCCAAAACAAGGGCAGAGTGATCCCCTAAACTTGCTGAAGGATTCCTCCTCTTTCCTGGAACATTCACATCCACGGTCAAATTGATGGGTCATTTCAATTGAAAACTGGCATTAAACTGTGGTGATCATCAAGTGAATGTATCCCACCTCTAGTGCAAAAGTCACTTAGTTGACTGAGGTACAGTGACTTAGATAGAAGACCCTACTCGCGGATCGGCTCTTGTGGCTTTTTGCTGTCCAAATTCGAGTAAAGAAGAGGCATTTTAGAAGAGGAAGTACCAAAGGCAACCACAAAGGAAAAACTATTCTGCTTTAGAGCATAAAGCTAGTTATCAGTATGGGTTTATCAACCTGTAGGGAATAGCTTAGAAGCGTGGACAGTGGGTAGTGATAGTTTTTGTTTCCAAATGGTGAAAAGGGCACCATGGTGATATTTGCATTTTAGAAAATGACCCAAGTAAATGCTTTCTCTATGGCCTTTTGTAATTATTTATGGCTGTTTTACTGGAATATTGAGGCCAAAACCACTTTCTGCAAGTAACTCCTTCTAATTCAAAACAATGCAGAAAAATCCCCAAGTGACTTCTTTTAGAAAATCTCTCTGGGACCCCAGATGTCTCTTATGGGGCTGGCACTATGGGTATGAGGTGCTGATGATCATGGAACAAAACCAGCCAGCTGCCACGAAGGTTAAAATCCAATGGTAAAGAAAACAGATTCTAACAAGCACAAGTCTGAATCACAACTGTAACTATGTTTATAACTATGTTTGAACATTGCAGTTCTGAACAAAGTGGGAAGAAAGATTTCTAGAATAAGGTTATGCCCAAAGATTTCTCCAAGTTAATAATTTATATGATCAGTAAAACCACATTCATAGTGCTATTGTTCTCTTAAAAAAATGAATACTTTTTCTTTGTTAAATTGCAATTTTTATTTATTTTTTATTTTTAGAGAAGAGTCTACAGGGTGTTCAGGGTCTCACTACTAGATTGGACTCATAGTGATACACCTGTTTACAGCCTCTCAAGAGCTGGGATTACAGGTGTGTGCCACCATGCCCAGTCTCAACTGTTGTCTCAGTGTGCCCCTGGGGTGGGGCTAGTATGACAGGCCAAGGAATCGAACCTCCGCTCCTGCTTGCAGGCACTTTAATCCAGTGAGCTCTCTGGCCAGCCTTTAAATTGCAATTTGAAGTGTGCATTAAAAATAACAATTAAGAAGTTTTAACATTATATTCTTACCTTTTTTTCCCTCCTGGCAGACACTAACTATTCAATTAACCGACAAGAACATCAACCTGGAAAAATTAACTGAGGTTATTTGGATTCACGGTGAGCCAGTAGTTACCACTCCAACTGTGACGAGTGTCAGCCCCATGAGTACTCATCCATCTCCATCCACCCCCGAGGCTACCAGCGCTGAGACTGTCACTGCTTCCAGTAGTGCGGGTACTGCGGCGAACACTACTGCCACTGTTCTGGTCACAAGCACACCTTCTGCGAGTTCTACCCATGTTACCACTGCTGCTAGTGTTTCTGTCACAAACATTCCACCCCCTCCAAGTAGTACAACCACAACAGTCACTGCCACTGTCCCCACCACATCCACACATCCTACACCAAGTGCTATTTTAACTAGAACTACTGCTACTTCTCCTTACACTACTGCTCCTTTCACCACAAGTACTATTACCACTGGCATTAGTACCCTCTCCCCCATCCAAACTACAGACTATGCAACAAGTAATGTGGGTGTCACAACTACTCGCATTATTGTTCCTGATACCACTACTCCTTTCCCTACTACTGAAAGGACTGGTACTACAGTTCCTATGAGCACCGCTCCTTTCCCCCAAGATGCTACGGATGTCAGCACTAGCACTTCTGCCTCTGCGGTAGCTACTCCTCTCCCCACCACTGTGAGCACCAGCACTACTGTTCTCTTCACTTCCGGTTCCTTCCCAACAGCTACCGCTAGTGTTGCCACCAGTACCACTGCCCCTGGTACCACACCTTTCCCCACTCCTTTAAACACTAATGCTACTGCTCCCATCAGCACTGTTTCCTTCCCAACAAATACCACCAATGCCACCGTTGGTACTACTGCCCCTGCTACTACACTTGTCCCCACTACTGTGGGCACCAGTGCTTCTGCACCCGTCAGCACTGTTTCCTTCCCAACAGACACCACCAATGCCACCAACAGCCCTGTTTCTCCTGGTACAACTACTCCTGTCCCTACGACAGTGAATCCCAGTGCTACCGTTCCTCTCAGCACCATTGCTTTCCCAGCATATACCACCAATGTCACCACCCATGATGCGACTCCTTTCCCCACTACTGTGAGCACCAGTGCTCCTGTTCCTGTCAGCACTGTTTCCTCCCCAACAAAAAGCGCCGAAGTCACCACTAACACAGCTTCGTCTAATGCTACTCCTTCCCCCACGTCTTCAAGCACTGGTGCTACTGGTTCTATCACCACCATTAGCTTCCCAGCAAAAACCACCAGTGCCACCACTAGTACTGTGGCCCCTGATACTACGCTTATCCCCACTACCGAGGGCACCAGCGCTCCTGCTCCTGTTAACACGATTTCCTTCCCAACAAACACTGCCGAACTCACCACTAATATGACTTCGTCTGATCCTACTCCTTCCCCTGCCTCTTTAAGCATGAGTGCTACTGTTCCTGTCAGCACCGTTGCTTTCCCAACTAACACCACCAATGCCACCACTAGTCCTATTTCTCTTGGTACAAGGACTCCTTCCACTATGACAGTGGATTCCAGTGCTACTGTTTCTGACAGCACCATTGTGTTCCCAACATCTATCACCAATGCCAATGCCACTGCTAGTACTACTGCCCCTAGTATTACTACTGGGAGCACCAGTGCCTCTGTTTCTGTGAGCAGCAGTCCTTCCCCAACAAATACCCCTGAGGTGACCACTAATAGGTCAGCCCCAGATCCTACTCCTTCCCCTGCCTCTTTAAGTTCTAGCACTACTGTTCCCGTCAGCACCCTTGCTGTCCCAACAAACACCACTAATGTCACCGCTAGCACTGCCGTCCCTGGTGCTGCTACTCTCTCCTCTACTGTGAACGCTACTGCTGCTGTTGCCACCAGCACCACTTCTTCCCCAACAAACACTACCGGTGTCACCAGGAGCCCTATTTCTCCTGAAACAACTACGCCTTTCCCCGCTGCTGTGAGCACCAGTGCTGCTGTCCCAGTCAGCGCCCTTTCTTTCCCTACAAATACTACCAGTGTCACCACTAATACAACTGCCCCTGCTACTTCCCCTTTCCTCACTCTTGTGGACACCAGTGCTACTGTTCCTGTTAGCACTACTCCCTTCCCAATGAATGCCACTGATGTCACCACTAATTCTACTGCCCCGGACACTACTTCTCCTACCACTTGAATGCCAGTGCTCCTGTTACTATCAGTACCGTTCCTTTCCCAAGAAATAGTAATATCACCACTAGTACTACTGCCCTGATGCTTGTATCCCTGCTTCAGTGTCTCGGGTCTTATCAGGACCACTTCTTTCTAAGCAAGTGGCTTTGGTGTCCCCACTAGTGCTATAGTCCTCTCACTATAAACATTACTAGGTTCACTGCTAGTGTTTCCTACAGTCATGATGAATTTCCCAGCAAGTTCTACTTATCACTAGTCCTACTGCTCCTGATACAAGTACTTTTTTCTCTGCAAGTGCTAGTGGGATTACTGTCATAGCCACTCCTTTCCTAAATCCGCTTGATGTCACAACCAACACCACTTCTCCATACACAGCTGTTCCTTTCATACAAGTGCTAATGCTCATGCCCCTCTTATCACAGCTGTTCCTTTATTGATGTCACCTACTGGTACCACGGCTGCTGACTTTGCTAGTCTTTGCTCCACAAGTGCTATGACTGCTAGTAGCCAAGCTACTGTGCCTGTCACAGCCACAACTGTTGTTTACCAATAGTGCTGGATCTACCGCCAGTACTACAGTTCTGAATGCGTCTACATTGTCCCTTTCTGCTATTTCTTTCACATGTATTTCTTTTGCTAGTACTAGCACTATTCTTCCTAGTGCCACTGTTCCTTCCTTGTCAAATAAAACTAATATTAACACGTTTACTACAATTCACAATATCATGACCGATTTCCCTACAAATGCCAGTCATGGTAATAGTGCTTCTCTGATTAGCACTTCCTTTTATACAGGTACTGATGACACGAGCCATAATAATACACTTCCAATGCCAACTACTTCTCCTAGGAGTATTAGTGCTGATTCTACTCTCGATTATTTCCCCAGAAAGTACTGATGCTATGAACACTACTGATACACGAACCACTACGAGTTCTGATACTGCTAACACTACCACTGATATTTCTACTAACAAATTCTTCCATTGTGTCTTCTGGTAGAAGCATTAGTCGTGTTGTTACAATAATCATTACTCGTTTGGCCATTACTCTTGCTCCTAGCGTTAATGATCGTCTTTCTTTTATGACTGATTTTTTTCTATATGTACAAGTGCTGCCAGCGCTGGTAATATTGTTCCTGTTGTGACTGCTTCTCCATCTTCAAATACTCCTGGTTTCAGTACGAGTAATACTGTCACGTCTATGACCATGTATGAAATTCCTCGCATTCCTCCTAGCCATATGTTTATTTCTGTTTTAAACTCTGTATTACAAATACTACATCTACTATTGACACCTACTAATTTTATGACCTATACTAATGCAAATGCCACCTATTTCAAACCCTTGAATACAAAACCTACCATGAAAATAGATGCTAACATTGCTACTAATGTGACATCAACCTTGGTACACAGCACTAATTCCCACACATAAATCTGACTGAGGGATCAGTGGTGCCATGGTGCAGCCACTGCAGCAGCTACTGTTGCGATCCTGCGGACTTCACACATAACCTCAGTATCTCGGACAAACCCACATTAGCCTGTGAAATATTGCTACAGATGTATTCAAATAACTTTACTTGTTTCTTGAGCTACAACACATAATACAATGTCTGAGAGCAATATGATGCTCATGGAATTAAATCATCTCTCTAACAACAGTTATTAATATCACAGATTATTTAATTACTGATGCTAAAAATAGCACTTTATTTTTCTATAGACTTTTCCAAATACTGACAGTAGCTATGTTGTGATTTGTCATTACACACACTATAAGTATTATTGCCTCTGAAAAGACTCTAGCTTTTGCTACAGATATGGAAAATGCTACCATTGAAGATTTTGCAGATATTTTGACTTCAGGCACTGAAATAAGTAACTTAGAATTATTACATTTTTTATTATCATAGAAAATAAAAATGTGATTATAGATATTAAAAATACAAGTTCCTCAATCCTGTAACCTTAGGTTCATAGGTGGTACCAGTAATCTTATCACAGATTTGATATGTACAGGTTGAGCAACCCGTAGATGAAGTGCTTGTGACCAGAAGTGTTTCACTTTTGGAACATTTTTAAAGAGATATTGAAATACATATTTAAACAGTATGTGATATCCTGAGGCTAAAACACAAGTGTAAATATGAAATTCATGTATGTTTAATGTATGCCTTATACCCTGAAGGTGCTTTTATACGCTATTTTAAATTATGCAATAAAAGAGTTTCACGGTGTGAAATTTCTTGCTTGGGACACCATGTCAGTGCTAAACGAGCTTCAGATTTCGGATACTCTGGGTATGGATGCTCACCCTGTACTTCTCTTTATGACACTGATGCAACTGCAGAACACTGAAGTTAATCCTAGTTATGAAAGCGTGTTAGGCCCTTACCATTACCACCAATGCCTGGCTCTCCCTTTTCCATGAGACAGGAATCACCCCAACAGAAGTAAGGCTGTGGAGGGACAGCCAAGGCTAGATAGTGTCTGCCCTGAATCGGAGTTCATAATTGTGTTTATTTCTCTTATCTACCAGCTTTTCCACTTCACTGCCCAGGCTCTTCAGTGTGCAAGGACTTTCCCTGTGTACTTGGTCCTTTATAGTCAAGCTCATTTATTTTTGACGTGTTAATTCTTCAGATCAGCCAGATCCCCATCGAGAGATTCTTGATCATTATTAGACCTAGCCAGCTTGTTTCTACTGAAGATTTAACATTAGATAAGTATTCCCAAAGTGTGGAGTAGGAGTTTGTAGGGTGTCCTAACACTTCTTGAGTTAAAAAAGCCAAATCTATTCTCAAAATGCTAAGTTATTTTTTATACTTTTCTGCTGGATGGTTAAGACCAAGATAAAGCAAGACCTATGTAACAAGAGTTGTAGCTTTTGGATCTGATAAGGTCAGTCAAATCCCCTCAGGATTTGTTCTGAGACCCAGACCTCAGATTGTAGATCCTTTGTCAGTGTCAGCCATGTGAATGAGTCACGGCCATTGCTTGGCCAATTTGCTTTCTGTGAAAGCCTGAGAAAATGTTTTCTTTCCATGTGACTCTCATTAGGCACACTACATCATTGATCACTTTCTTCTTTGGCCCCATAATCTCCTTGATCAGAAAATTTGCGACACAACTGAATTACATGATGTTACAGTACAAGTTCCCATATGTTCTGAGTCTTAATTGACCTTGGAAGGCTAGGGCCAAAATGTTAACTTTCCTTGCAGCCCTCCTTTTTCTCTAAATTTTGGTCTGCAAACTTAGGTTGTTAACCCCTCAGAAGAGAAGCTTATTGTTATTACCCTACAACCTAGGCTGTTGAGCTTAACCTCATTATCTGTCTGAATATCAAACATCTTAGGCATAACATGGAACAGGTATTTTTCATCAAGTATTGATATGTTGAACTTTAAGTCCCTACAGAATATGATGAAAAAATTTTTTAAATTAAAATATTTTTTCAAAATAGGCATTAAGCATTATGAATTATATATGTTTACACATAAGTCCAGAAATCTAACCATATATAGCATTGTAGCAGGACAGTCCTGCAACACTCCTTTTCCTGTCTCTTGCCTTCGTTCACCACTCCCTTCCTTTTTAAACAACCACCTACCTGAGAGATAGCACGGCAGCAACTGGCATGTCATGACAAGCAGCCTGTATTCAGATGACCAGAATGACAGGCACTCCAAGCATGAACCTACTATTACAAATTGCCATCCTCAGTGCAGTTGCTTAGTTCACAGGTGTCAGTATACATAGTTAGTCAGGGTGAGAATCCTTCCAATTAACTGCTGGATTCAAAAATCTTCTGAAGATTCTCAGGATCATTGCCTTACCCATCTTGTACATATAACAAGTACAAGCAACAAGTGTGGCTTGCCACTGTCATGTTTCCTGGCTCTTCTTCTTGCTCTTTCTTCATTGAAGTATACGAAGTAAAGTCATGTTGTTATGTTGAGCTGTAGGGGACTCAGGTCAACAACTTCTGACATTGCCAGTCAAGTGGAAGACCCAAAACTATTACGGACTACTGGACTATTTTGGAATATTTTGCTGAGTTCACACACCTATAGTATTTAAATGATGGAACTAAACAAAAAAAGGGGATATAGATGAATGACCATTTTGTATCTGTGTATTCAAAATGGTTAGGATAGATATATATCTACAGTCTCTTAATTCAATGAATAGAGGGATTTGTTCTAATAGTGTTTGTAAATAGGATATCATGTCTGCATCTTGTACAACGAATAACCACTAGGAAGACAGTATGTGATGTGTTAATTATTGAAACTCTCCTATCAATTTGATGTGAAACTGTCTCATTGCTATTTGTTTCTCAATAAAATTATGGAAAAAAAGAAATTTTAACAAAATTTATGAAAATATACTACTTGTAACAACTCCAAAAAATGCTCCTGTTATTTTCCCGCGCCACTCTCCCATGAACATACGGTGACATTGCTAGAGACCCTGCGTTACACGGTGTGGCAAAAGTAGCTTCCAAGAGCCTAGCTTTCTTCTACCATGGAAGGTATTATACTACTTCACACTATGTAAAATAGTGCTCTTCTTGCCTTTTTTCTTTAGGAAGTATTGTTATTTTTCACAAAAAATATATTATGCTAACGTAGTACATTGTTATTATACTGAATAAAATATTTTACAAATGACTTTAATTTCTTTTTTTTTAATATTTATTTATTTATTTATTTATTTAGTGTGTGTGTGTGGCCAGCTCAGCCCACCAGGGGGTGGGGCTGGCTGGCATGTGGTGCTGGGGGATTGAACCGCGGTCCCTGTGCTTTGCTTAGCTTAGCTTGTTCTAAGTAGGTGCTTTAGACCACTGAGCCATCTCACCAGCCCCTGACTTTAATTTCTAATGGTATCTTCACTTCTTTTGAGTCTATAGGGGTCCCGAGACTAGACAGTTTGAGAACCACTTTTGTAAGGGACAAATCTCTGTCCCACTCTCAGGTCCTAACCAAGGGCCCTCGGAACTTTGCAGTCATGTAAGAACTGCAGCACCTCTAACTATTCCACACGAATGTCCACCACCTTCGGCAAGCACACCTTCACAGACTCCTGATGCAACGTCATAGCTGCACAATGTCTCAGCTGTGCAATCACACCCCATGCCTACTACAGATTCACTAGTTAGCTATGATATATCTGCCTCATGGAATTAGCCCAAAAGCTACAGCCTACAAGTAAACAGTTGGAAGGCTCCTAACTTGACCTTCCCAATCAGAACAAAACTCATTACTCTATGGACTTGTTCATGAACACCTTTACTCGTACCTTTACTGAGGGTCACCCAGTGTGCTTGTCTCTGACATCACAAATGCTGATGTGAGAACAAATGCATATACCAGCCCCCTGCTGGACACTTGTGGTGCTGCAGGAACTCCTGAGTCCCTGGGTGACATGGTGGGGTGCAGACTGGCATGGACAAAGTTTACTTAGGGGCTACAGGCTTAGCTGAGTGGTGGAGGACTTGGCTAGCACACATGGAGTCCTAAATTCAGTTGCTAGAGTGGCAATAAAATAAAAAAGTAAAATAAGAAAAAAATATAAGGGTCTCATTATCAAAGTTCTCAGGAGTCCCACATCTCTAAGTATAGAAAGGATACAACTGCAGAGATTGAGGCTGGATCTTGCCCGGAGAATTATGAAGGCAGAGCGGACCAGGGTCACTAGAGTGGCAGATGCAGAACTGGGAGAACAGTTAGACTCACGGAAAAGTGAGCTCTTCTGAGCTAGAACAAGACACTCCACTGCTAAATTAGACAGTGGCCATCTCTCTTTACAAACTGTATAATGGATGCACTTATCCCAATTTTAGGATTTTTTCAGTGGTTTTTTTTCTCTTTACCTTTTTTGGGTTTCCTGCTAATCATATGTTACTGCATAGGGAGCTCTGGCTTGGAACAAAACATGCAAACACATAATGGAAAGAATGGCTTTGAAATGTCTGCAGTTTCTTCACATTGTTGTGGGCATGGATGTGATTACGGATGCTATTTCACATGACAAACATCATATTTCCACCAATATAATTTTCTTCTGTTTGTATGATGAACTTAAACGCACTGGTGTTCGCTTGTGCGCTCCAAGGCGCTGTTATTTGCAGGCTTCCCTGAACTTGAGTAAGCTCTGCATGCACGCTGTCCTCTGTTGGTGGTGGGCCACTGAGAGGCGCAAAGGCCTCTGTACTGTCCAAGAGTTGGTATTAAATAGGTAGCTTGGTGGATGAACGCAGAACCGAGGGCAGGAAATTCTGACTGGAGATAAATTAGACATCTCTTAACACATGGCAAGTATTTGAGCCACTGGACCAGACTACATATTAACATGGGAGATCCAGAAAATTATGTAATCTATTGAGCCATTTTCTGTTGCTGTAACAAGATATTTGACTCTGACCATTTCCTCCTGCTATGCGTTGTTAGGAGTCATGTGAGGTCCGTTTGTCCATGACTGGTGACATTCATTTGGTTATTTGGTTGAGCTGGAGTCTGCTAAACTTCCGGATTTTTATGGTCAGGAACCTGCAGAGCATAGAAAGGAGGAAGGATACTGAGTTCATCTCTTTCAAGTTTATTTCCATTGTGGGAATATTCTAAACTACATTACCAGTGGTATTCATTCAGGTGCTTTGTCCATGGACACATGAATAATGTAAATACAATATTTTCACTATAGAAGTGTATCTCTTTCTCCATGATACATAGTGTGCCTAAGAAGAGTCACCTAGAGAGAAAACATTCTCTCAGGCTTTCACAGAGAACAAATTGGTCAAGCAATGGCCATGATTCATCCACATGACTGACACTGACAAAAGATCTACAAGGTGCTATACATGGTTCTAGCTTAAATCCTGAGGAGATTTGACTGACCTTGTTAGATACCAAAGTTACGTTTTTAGTTATATACATCTTGCTTTAACTTGGACTTAACCATCCAGCAGAAAAGTATAACCGTGAGGTATAAAAGGTCATGCCATATTAGTATGCTGAGCTGTAAAAGGCTCAAGCCAACAACTTCTTGACAATCACCAGTTCTGTTGATAACCCACTACTATTATGGACTATTGGACTATATTGGGTTATTTTGCTGAATTCAAATAGCTACAATCTTTAGACTGGTTTCAAGTATGGAAAGGTCCTTTAAAGACTTCTCCAAATCCAGCTTCTCTAACTGCAGTGGAACACCCATCTCTGATAAAACAAAATAAAAAAGGAG